TGGCTGATGAAGCAGATGCTATCCGCCTTGATTTCGTGCATCTGCATTTTGTTCAACAAATCGGTAGAACAAATGAATAGTAAGCTAAAGCTTAACGATTACATATTGACTTAATCCGGCAAACCTATGCATCATTTTAATTGTATTGTAGTTGCAAACCTTTTCCTTCGTATATGCTGGAGAAGATGTCCAAGAAGTTTGAGAGACTACTCGGTAATGCTTTCGGTAGTTCTTAAAGAAGATAAGTTCTTAACTTGATGATAACAATTTCCTTATATGTTTCTTTAATGAAACCCACTAAGGTGTCTCTCTAACTTGAGTAAATTTGCGTTAGTGACGTTCGCCAATATCTGTTCTGAAAGCTACCGGTCATTTTTTAATTCACGGGCGATAAATTTTATCTGATGCATTGCTTAGTGTTTTTGTTCGTGAAGTGCAAATGAATTCAATTATTTGTGAGAAAAAAGTGCATTTTGTAGTATCAAAAAAGAAACAAAAACTAATTTTATCGTGGCAGTGTGTCTAGTTTGAACATACTTTCGTTCAACCCATGATCGAGACGCCGTCCTGCGTCTTATGCACTGCAGGCGCTTAAATATTATGGAGCCGTGGCCTGCTTATATGGTACTCCTAAGCGTCTAGAAGCAAAAGGGCGGTGCAATCAGCTGCTGGAAGTGAGAAATTTAATTTTTATTTATTTACACTATGCATTCGCCGTTTCAGTCCGGTGTTATTATTATATGTACTGTGAAAGTAATTTTGCTTTGTGAACTTTTGAATTTGAATTTTCTAAAATACTTAGTAGTTTGATCGTACTGTTAAGTCACTATATGGATAGGGCAAAGCAGGTTTGGTTATACTACCTATCTGCAGTGTATTTAAGTCATAATTTTCTCTGATTTTTAATGCGTTTAGTAAAAGTCTAGACAGTCAGCTGTTCCAGTGGAACGGCCCCGAACGAAAACGTGGTCGATAACTTTGTGTGGCGCAAATCAGTGAAGCTCGATGAATTCTGATGATGTGAACATTATTACCTTGGTTTTCCACTGATACATCTAGGAATTGTCATGTGAACTTATGCAATGAATTATGAAGCTACCCTGTGCTACCATCAAGTGGTTCGTGCATTTGTTCACAGAGTCTGTTAGTTGAGTGTTATCGTACATCTCATCAGTACGGTGTGATCCAAGGCATTTATGCAGCTTAATTTTTGTTGCCACTTTCACATTGAAATCATCTAAAACAGTCAAGATGTCATGGGTTCGGTGCTGTTGCAGCAACAAACTCAGCGTGGCATAGAATTCTTCTTTTACTGCCTTTGCCGCACTTCAGCGGGTACATAACAACCGGCCACCGTGACGCCAGGTCCTTTATACCCGGAGTTGAACCTCACCGTAATGATTCATCAGGCACGACACCAAAATACATCGTGGCGACACCAGTGGCCCCTTAAGCATTTCCATTACCTGCCAGTGCAGCACCACCTATTTGAGCAGCACCTTCTGTCCCTGAGATATACAGGCTATAATATCCAGTGGTCACAACGCTTTGTCCAAGCCAGTGGGTCTCTTGTGTTGCATCTGTCTATATTCTCATACCATTTAGTGTACTCTGTTCACCTGTGTATAACATTCTCAGATTAATCGTGAGCAAACTGGGTCCGTGATTTGCCACTGAAGAATATTTTTCTTCGTTCTGAAGTTTTTCGAGATTCAGACTCAGCCAGTGAGATTTCTTGGTCCGTTACGAATAAAATCTCGTCCATATGAGAAATTCCTAACGGTTTGTGTAACTGGGGATAAATTTCCGTTGAGTTGGCGATTTTCGCTAGACCCTCGTTAGCGGTCCGTTTCAGAGTTCATGACAGGCCTTCCTGTTAGCCGTAACGCCTAGAGAGAATGCATTCCACCGTACTTCACCTTACCAGTCATTCCCTTACGTTAGATCTTGGCCGGACAGTTGTAAATGTCCCTGAATGATGAGAAGTATTCACCTTCTCCAGTGGTAGAATCTCAGTAAAATACGATAAAACTTTAAACAAGTTAAAAGAATCACTTTACTGTTTGATAACCCTGACACATTGTAACAGGTTATATTTCCACAGGCAGTTAGTCAACCCTGATATACTTATGAAGGGCCAGATGTCTGGCGTAAGTCGTGAGTTTTAACTCAGACACGGTGACAAATCTGGAGGGTAATTTATCGCCGATGCCACTCCCTTCAGGGGACCATAGGTTTCTATATATAGTAGAATTGGGCTATATGAAAGAGGAAGAACGAGAATTAAGGTTTATTTGGTACCATTTATAGACATATTGAAAGAGGCACATGAGCATGAGACGTGAATGGAAGATAATGAACGAGTTCAGCAATTTTAATGTGTATGATTTCATAAAAAATATGCAATGAAAAGCAGCGTCAAACGTCGCTTATTTTTTATACACAAAGCTAAAATATGATCAGTGGGTGATTGTTCAATACCGAGGTTTCTACCCGTGTCTCACGGGCTTTCTGCAGGGTAGAGAAGTGAATTGGCTTCTGAAGCCTTGTCGTTAGTCTTGAGCCCTTTTCTACTGCGAACTACAGAAGGATAATAATAATTAACGTCCTTACGTCGGAGAAGGCCCATGATACACGGACTAAAACGTCTTTGGTAGTCAATCGTCTCATTGATCATGCTTTCGCGGTGTGTGTAAGTAAACCGTGTTCTATGCTATATTTCAACGTAAACGTAAGAACGAAATACCTAAAAATATGCAACGAGACATGACTGAGACAGTCATGCATTTTGAATGTTAATAACCTGTAAATGATACTCTTATGTTTTTACGTACATAATGATTTGTGTAATCATTGTCATTGTTTTATTTTGCTTGTGTTCATTTCTTTGAGTCTGCTTTTGTCGCTGATGAAATTTTCTAATGGTCTTTCTTTAGGCTTGATGTAATTTGTTTATATCTGAATAAAGAAACTAAATTTTTCATTGTCCAACAGATATATCATTTAGAATTTTGTTATAAAAATAATCTGAATGAACGATACTGATGCGACTGATCTGTAGGTGATTAAATTTTTATTTTGGCGATGAGCTTTAAATGCTGTATAATTGGTTGGCGACTGAAATAATCTTACTGACTTCGGTTTTCTGATAAAAAGGAAACTTTTCCTATTGCTATGTGGGACCGTAACGAAGATTGTCTGACTGAGGGCCATTAGAATCGAGGGTTACCAACCCTCAAGGAGCTGGGTTTTCGTTATCGAATTTTGGTCATTCTCTTTCTCTTTATTGGTTTCGGAGATCCGGTTATAAATAATGATCGAATCGGATATTTCAGAAGCCTTTTTCATTCTTCTCTTCTCTCTGATATTTATCATGATAAACTTATTCCTTTAATTTTAAACATTCTATATTCTTTCACTTTCTTTAGATAAGGCTACCGATGCTGGCTTGTTGGAAGCAGACTGGGAGCTCATTATGAATTGTGTAGATGTCGTTAGAAGTGGAGAAATTACGTAAGTTAATCTTACTTTGTTAGTTGTATATTAAATTTGGACCCTTAGAAATCCGGACAGGTTCACAAACCTGATCCAGTTGAACTGTCATGAATGGTCCTCTTGTGCATGTCTTCTTTGTTATTTATCGTTTCGTTTTGTGCTTTACCTTCTGTAAACTGATAGGTCGGTTGTTTTTACCTGCAATAGCTATATGCTTGACTTGAAATGTACATGCTGAAGTAGTAAACAGTGGTGGGTGATTACTGTCATACTGATTAAAGTACAAAATAATAATTAATTTTACCATTATGTATTCAAGAAGGAAGCATTCAGTTAGTAAATCAGTTAGTCAGACAGTTAATAGTCAGTCAGTCAGTCAGTCAGCCAGTTCATCAGTCTGTCAGTCAGTCAGATAAGCAGGAGCTTCTTAACGATAATAATGGAAGCATTAAGCTTGCTCTAAGTTTACATGCATCGAATTTAAGCTGAGTAGCTGCTATGCGGGTTAATCCTCTCCAAGATGCATGCCTTGCAACTAGTTTTCTGATTCGCTTTGTTGATCTGACTTTTAGAGTCTACTTTTTCTGAAGAAGCATGTGATAAAGATTAGAAAAATGCAGTTACTCGACAAATGTGCCATAGAAAGATTAGAAGTCAGCCGAACTTCACTTGTATGTTGGATTTCATAGTTCGACCGAACTGTAAGACCTCTGAACTGACACTGTCATCTGGATAGTAATTGTTCGGTAAAACATTCCACTTCCAACTTCGATTGGAGACACCATTTTTATCTTCGTACGATTCCGTGAGCTCATTTAAGTTCTTAAAATAGATCTCTGCTGTAGTTGAACCATTGCTGGTTGCTCAAGAACCCTTAGCTAAAAGACCTTAATAGGCGACTGCATCGCCATCTCTCTCATTCCCTTAAAAGGCGTTGTGGTTTTTGTCTTCTCATTGTCATCTGTTGATTCTTATCCTCTCTTAGTAAAGTTCGGCATGTATGAGGACGAAATATTTTCGCCTGCAATCCCCTACTCGGATGAATGTGTTTGGTGGAATGAAAGTATGACATTTTCTCATGCAGCTGTGAACCGCACTTAGCCAATGGTTTAAGTTTCAACCTCGAGCAACTTAGAAGAAATGAGTTTTTTTACTTTCATCGATGGATAACGTCACACTCCTTTGCATGCTAAAAAGTCTGACCGAGGTAAGGTTACACCCTGTAAAATGAAAGTATAATAGTGATTCTGTCATGTGGTGTATATCACAGAGAGGCGTACATGAGCTTCTTGTAGCTTTTCGCATATCAGCTTCATGGATTTCAAGTCTTATTTATTTATGACAATCAGTGTCATCCTTGTTTAAGAACGCAGATGACAAGAAAGTGATTTTACCTCTTTTTTGTAATGAGAATTATAAGTCTGTGATAATGACTAAAACACAGATAAGATAATTAATAAACAGTAATCAAAATTAATTAAAAAGAATATCTGAAATGGTCAAAGATGCAAAATAAAATGAATTCTAGGCCAAAGGTAGCATTTGCTGCTGTTCGGAAGCGATACCATTCTGACAATCCACATATAGCACACCACGCTTTACACGTCCTTGAGGCGCTTGTGAAAAACTGTGGCGACAAGATGCACAAGGAAATAACGACGAAGGAAGCAATGGAAGACCTGAAGCATTTGGCTGCAGACTGTCCAGACAAAGTGAAGGAGAAGATCCTGGAACTGATCCAGTGCTGGGCGCACGCGTTCCGCGATAAGCCGGAGTACAGGCTTGTGAAGGATACGCACACTCTGATGAAGTTGGAAGGTGAGGTTGACTGAAGAAAAAGCAGAAATTGCTAACTCAGGTTAGTTTCAGGTTATTCATTTCCAACTCTGAGGGAAAGCGACGCAATGTTCACAGCTGAAACCGCCCCTGAATGGGTTGACGATGATCGTTGTCACCGGTGCCAAACCCAGTTTACGTTGATCAACAGAAAGGTTAATTTATTTTTTCGTTCATTTGCTTTAGTCGAAGTTTAATTTTCAGTATAGATAAAAACGGAGCTATAAATGAAGCAAAATAAATAATACGAAAAACCATAGGCAATGGTAAAACAAAAAAGCATTTGATGACAGGACCAGCACCTGACATGCAACGCAGACAAAATGTGTAATTCTGTAGAAACCAAGCTGGAATCGTAAGAAGCCTCGAGTTAATCTAATTCAGTTTTGATTCCAGTCGGTCTTTTTCCACTTGGTATGAAACCTACGATCGCTTCTCTAAGTTCAAACATATGCTGTCTTCGAGCTTTGCGGTATTTTTTACAACTGGTCTTTTGAATAATTAGATGGCCGTAAAATTTTCTGAACCTTCCTGCATTGCAGGTAGCAGGTAGGAGCATTATTTTCCGTGGCATGGATAAATATTGTGTACCTGCAGTCTATTTCACAGATAACCGACATGTTTGAGAGCTGTTCCAGTATTTGCCACCTGAAGAGGCATTTTCCCTAGCCTCATTTCCTTAACCGAGCCGTTAGTTATTAGAGCCATATGACAGTCATGTAAAGATTTATACAAGAGTTATTTAACAAAAACATCAGTTTTTTCCGTGATTGGTCGAAACTTTGGCAGTGAAATAAAAACTATTTTACCGGTCGTCTGTTCGATCTATAGCCTCCGAATCTTGACAAATTAGTTCTTATTAATAACAAGCGCTATAATTAAGAGCAACATCTTAAAACTTACAAAGAGTGAAAACAATATTTGCCGGCCTTGTGAATTGTCAGTCATTAATTGCAGTCTGTCATTCTCTCGTTATTATATGGTATTAACTGGCTGTAGTTGTGAAGATGACTCATTCGTACTCGGCTTCTGGTTACGTTATACTGTTGCATCCTCCGGTCGCTACTTCCATATGCAACGGGGGAAGAGGCTGCATTTTTAAGACATTCTCCGGCTAAACTGTGATTAGTAAATTTCAGTGAACCATAATGTTATTTTTTACTCTTCACTCGCTAACTCTAATGCATTTAAATCACTTTTTAGCACCACTGTCGAAACTGTGGCCAGATATTCTGTGACAAATGTAGCAGCAGGTACATTCCATTGCCGCATATTGGCATCGAACGCGATGTTCGTGTATGCGAGACTTGTTTTGATAAAGTGAAAAAGTGAGCTTTCCTTAGCATTGTTGAAAGTTATTTGATATATTAATTCATCTAAATTAATTGATTAATATGAATTGAAGAAGAAACAACACAAAATGATTTTTTATTTAAGCAGCGCAATTCTTTTAAATGATTATAAATACTAGATACCCTAGACCTTTCGGTTACCAGTGATT